CGGCCCTCTCTCTACCACAAGGCGCTGCATTTGCAGAGTCAACGCACATTAACGGCTCGAGCCAACAGCATCACGCTAACAGTAACATCATAACTTTGGACGACAGAGTCGACATTCAATAGTCTTGAACTCGATACTGTTATCACTAACACTACCAAGCTGGGGGGGCTAACTGTGGGGTCGGATTTTACCCGCTCAACGTTGAAGTCCAAAGTTATGCAAGTGCAGCGCATAGACACATAATCGAGTTAACATACATATATCATATGACTCTCCCAAGTCATTTCCTGACAAGAAGATGAGGTCTTTCTCCTTTCCTAAGTCTTTTCCGACCAAGAAGAGAGCCTTCTGAGTCCTCTCTACTCGCAGCAAAGTGCAGTGCTAGCAAGGTGCAGAGCCAGCAGAGCCAACGATGTACAGAGCCAGCGATGTGCAGAGCCAGTGATGTTACAGTGTCAACGAAGACACTGGCCACCGAATACCTGCCAGAGTAACGACAAAGGCCAGAAGGTTTCCTGCGCTAAAGCCCGATCCAAATGAGAAGCCCACTTTAACACAACCGACGTAAGAAAAATGAAATCCGCAAAGACTTAGGAAAGTTAACATTATCTTTAGGAAATAGGTCTAGCCGACTTAGGGAGCTATATATATCAATGTACAAATCCTTGTAAAAGGTATCCGCAATTTTATTCACAAAAACATATACAGCAATAACAAACGTTTCTCTTTGCTCATCGTTTCTTTAGTAGATTAACCTAGAAATTTATGTTTTCTCACGAAACTCTTACAAATCTAATTGTGCTAGTTTCGACTCCCACAAATATCATCTAATTTTCTAAAAAAAATCTCTAAAACATAATCTATTATGATATGGAGAAAATTGATATTAATCTAAATGATCTTTTAAACTAATATAAATTATATTAAAATGTTAGAAAAGCCAGAAAATTAGTGGTGGCAATTGCCACTCCTTGGTTAATTTGGCTCCGCCCATGCACCCACACATATCTTGACGTTTGTTTTTTGTGTGTGTGTCAGCAACACATATCTAGACGTTTAATTTGCAAATTATTCATTTATTTTCTCAGAAAAAAAAAATAATCTTGGAAGTAAACGTCACGTGAATCTTTTGGAGAAACCACGTATATGGAGATACATTATTCTGAGAATCCCCATCAATTAATTGTCTAAAAATCTGGTTATTTTCACACTGTTGTTGAAAACTGAATAACAAGATAAAAAGTAACAAAAACACAAGGTTGATGTTGTCTCTTAGTTGAGACTTTAGGACCTTTCATGGACCTCACTTTAGTAGAGATGGTCCCATATTGTGCAGCACGATTGATCAGAAAATATGGGAAATTCAGTATCATAAAGTCAATTTTGTTTTTTTTATACCAAATATCACTTCAAGATAAAATCCATCCCCAAAATGTAGATAACAATAAATTTGCCAAAAAGGTATTAAAAACAAAATTTACTAAAGAATAATTATTGTCTTTGAAGAAAAACTTGCTTTATCTGCTATCACATGATGAATGGACAATTTTTGCCAAAAATGTATTAAAGACAAATTCTACCATATAGTACTTTCAAGTACTGTAATAACTATATTGGTTCTTTATCTGCTATCACATTATGAATGGAAAAAGTTGCTTTGTCGCACCAAAAAAAAAAAAAATTGGAAAAACTTGCTTTATAATGTAGGATATGATTTTGTGTGAGAAAGTGAAAAAAATGAATGAAGTAGATAAATGCAAGAATAGATCTAAAAGTTATATGCTTTTGTAAAATAATAATATAACAGTATTTTAATTCAAACCAGAACTCATACATATATACTACATGAATACTAAATTTATATGCTTTTATTAGTTATGGTTTTTATAGTTAAAATAGGTAAAGAAAAATATTGTGGTACAAATTACTAGTTTTTGTAAATAATTTTTTTTTTAACAACGATACTGTTTTGCATATCAAATGATATTTTTTCTTCTTCTTTCAAAAAAGGGATATATATATGTACAATGTAGTAATTGATTGGTATAATGGTGAACAAAGAAGTGAACCAGGCTGATGTTGGAAGGACAATATAGGAGAAGTTAAGTGGATGGGAGCCAGATCCATACCAAAAGCTCGAAGGAGACAGAAGCTGAAGCTATAAGATGGGCAATCTGATTGTTATTCTAATGTGATTTAAACTCAAATTGTAAACAAAATGGGTGTAGCATAGGAATATTACTGTTTCCTAAATGTTTAGAGTTTCACGCTTATACCAAAAGGTCATTAGGGTTTGTAAAGGATTATCCACATAATCAATAAAATCATAGACAAAAAGGTTTTTCACCTCAATATTGTTTTTCTCATTATTTCGTTTCTTCTTTGTTCTTTCATAAGTCCGAATTCACAACACAATCAATGCAAATCCTAGGCTACCAAGCTATCATCTTCGAATCATATTCAAAGGAATTGGTACAAGCAGTACAATGCCAAACCCCATCATTGCACACCTCAGTCATAACATCCGATCGAGAGCTCAAATCCTTCAATCAAGACTTAGAAAAGT